ATACCATTCCTTAGGGCAGACTCTAACAGTATAATGACACACATCAATCTAATACATGTGATATACTGTGTACGGGATTTTATTTTCTGTGTCACTAATTTCTAATTTTTGTGAATTTCATACTTTTGGTCTGTCACAAAAATTAAATCACAAATTCTGCATTTACATTGCTATGTGATGTAGTTTACAAGCTATAGTGTATTTGCAATTTTTGGGTGTTTGTGAATAAATAATTTTAGTGACATAAACTTTCCTCATATTATGGTAGCTAACCTTGAGGCCAGTAGGGGACTCCCCCGTATATACAGAACACAGAGAGGGACTGAGAAAGAGACTCAAACTCGGTATTGACCTGATTGGCCAGTTCTCTAGTGGGGGCCATTACTAATACACAAGGAGAGCGTCCCCTTGCAGACACATCAACTGAACCTTAAGGGAGGAGCAGGAAAGAGGGTATGTTAATGTCAGTATAATGTATTTACCTGTTTTTAATAACCGTTCAACTAGTGGTAATACAAATGAAAGAGTTTTTCCAGTGCCAGTACCTAACGTAGAGAAATTATAAATAATAATAATACAGCTTTACTAATTTGACAGTTTAACAATAACTACTAATGAGTAATGATACCATTTGCATAAGCAAAATCCCTTGTACATGCAATGAAATAGTCAGGTATGGCTGATTAGCAATGAAATACTAATATTAATTTTTATTAATTAATATTTAATTAATTACTGTATAGTGCATTATTTTGGCGTTTTTTAATTTGGCGATTTTTATGTACACATGCATTACTGAGCATGCGCATTAATGATTGGCAGTTTTAATATTGACAATTCCGCTTGCAGACCGCCAATTGCCAAAATAAAACTCCACCAAATTAAAGCTTTATACAATATCTTACGAGCTTGTCCGATTACATCCTTCTTGTCATAAATAGGATCGAAGGTCTTGTATTGTATAGGGAAGAGGTGGGTTATACCACGTGACTTAAGGGTCTTCCTGGATACTTTACTGATACGATACTTCTTAAAGTCACTCTCTGGAGGAGGTCCTTCATCTTCCTCTTCTCCTTTACTCTTTACAGACTCACCATTAGCATCTTTGAGGCGTTTCACCTCATGGACATCTTCAGACTAAAAGAATCATAAGCAGTTTAAGAACTCTAGGCGAGTACTTTTCTCTTTCTCTTCATTTTTGACCACGTGGTGCATATCGTGGGTGTAATCATAGGCGTGGTATCTTGAGATTATTTTTGCAATTTTGTAATTTGTATCATTTTTGTCCATTTTGAAGTTGTCAGCTGCTACTATACTTGAAGCCTAAAGTCTCGCCTAAAGTCCAGTCCAGTCCAGTCCAGTCAATCGAAACCGAAAAACTTTTATCGATAGAAGAGAGCCTGAAGAGTCAAAAGGGAGTGAGGTAGAGGAAGGGACTGAAATTTCTAAACAAAAAGGTGGGGCGGGGAAAAGGAGCATCAGCAGAAGAAGAGATCAAGATTAGGTGGAGCTGTTCATTATTTTTCTAAGCGAATAACAGAACCATCAGGAGAGACCCTAACATCAACGTGCAACCAAAGGAGCCACTCCTCCTACTGCTCATGATACTAGTGTAAGTGTGTATATAAATATTGTTTTGTTTTGCTGTGATTGTGTTAATACAGCACTTTATTTTTTGATTATTTAATTAAATACCAGTGCCACTTATTTAGTTAGTGAAAATTTATCAGAAACGCATATTGCTAAATTTGCTATGAAATAAAGTGGCAACAATATAATTATAATATTGAATTAAAAAACTGGTATATTTTAATTTTATTGCTGGATAGGTTTCTGACAGTCAGTCAGTGTCCACTATCAAGGATTTTGGAGCACCTAACGAGTAAGAAATGGGTTGTCCTGTGTATTGATACATTGATTTAGTTATAGCCATAATTATTTTGCTGAAATAGCTATAAAACAAATTAAAAAATATATATGCATTTATTAGTCAGAATCAATGGTTTTTTGGTATGATTGGGCTTCAAATTTATGATCATTACTTTACTTTAGGTTTAGTTGTAGTCAAACCATGTCTGGTTTAGGTTCAATGAATAATCAGAAGGTTGTTAAGTCAGATGCACATGTAGACCAAGGAGCAAGTGCCACACAGTTAGATCCATCAATTAGTGAATCAGAAAGGGAATGTAAGGAAGATAATTTTATCATTCAAGGCAGTAAAGTCAAAGAGGAATATGAGACAAAAGGAAATGATTACGAGCAGAGAATCAGCCAACTTACCAAATCACTGAGCAAGAGAGAGGAAGAAGTAATTAAACTCAAGATAGACCTGAATGCCAATAAAATGCTTTTAAAAGAGAAATTAAAAGAAAAATATAAAGCATACAATGAACAGGAAGCTATCAAGCTACAATTGGAGAGGGAGTTAGCTGTAGCAAAGGAAGAGATGAAACTTTTGAATGAGAGGCTTAACAGTAGTAAGGAGGAAGAACTGAAGCAGAAAATAAGTGAACTTGAAAAGGAAATGAACGAGAAAGTTCAACATCTTCAACTGAAAGAAGAACAGTTATCTGAGAAAGAGAAAAGTGTGTTTAATGCCGAAGGAAGTGATACTGCTGATAAGAGAGACAGAGAGTTACATGTAATGATCAAACAAGTGGAAGATTTAAAGGAAGAGAGTAAAAAAAATATTGCTGAGGCTACACAACGTATTGATAAATTAGAGGAGATACACAAGGAGCAACTTGAAGAGATTGATAAATTGAGAGAAGAGAATACAATACTAGCAGTGAGTTTATTGTAATTATGATTATGTACATTATATCATTGATGTACATATAATAGGGGACTGTAGAGGAACAAGGAAATATGAGAGAAAGGCTTACTGAGTTGGAAGCATTGTTTGATAAAGTTGCTGCTAGTCATGAGGAAGAAATGAATGACATTAGAAGAAAGGAGGAAACAAAACGAGTTGAACTGGAAGAAAAATGGAAAAGAAAATTTGATGAAGAGTCTCAGCAAAGATTACAATTTCATTTACAAGAGATGAAGGAGGCAATGGAGGAAGTAAAGAAAAAATACAAGGACAGGCTTCAAGCTAGAGAAAAGGAATTGCAGGTATATTGTACAGTATTTGTCACATTATTCTGTTATGGTCAATGAAAATGTTAAAATGATGTTATTGTTTCATTATCAAATAGGTTCAGCTGGAGAAATTTAATCAAGAAAACAAAGAAGTAAGAGATTTTATTAACTCTTTTCTTAAATTCTAAATTTATAGTTAAAGGAGCATTTGTATAATCGGGAAGAAGCTTACACTGTTTTACAGGATTCATTAGACAAAAAGAGTGTGACTTCTATGGCGCTAGAAAAACAAGTTGAGGATATAGTGAATCACTCAGCAGAAAAGGATCAAAAAATAAAAGAAATATCAGAGATACTTGCTTGGAAAGAGGCACAGGTACACTTTTATGCATGCACTAGCCACTCAGCATGAATAAGCATTAGGTCTACTCTACATACATGAATGATCAACTGCCTTAAGCCTACTATATTATTTGCATCTACTAATTTTAGCGAATTCAGCAAAAGTCATGTTTAGCATTATTAATTTTAGCGTTACTAACCAAATGCTTTTAAATAAACACTAAGCAATGAAGAATATAGAACAAAATTAAGCAAGCAAACCATTAAAATGAGGATACTTTGAATATAGGTAGCATATTTATAGTAAATCAGTCACAGGCTTTAAGTTCTTAGTTAATCTTTTAAAGAAAATTTTATATCTGAACACTGCTTGTTGCTGTAGCTGATCATTTGCTGCAAAAACTTCCACTTTTATAGCCACCAATTTTCTTCACTATGACCTCACCCACTAAATTAACTATCAATAATAAACGGTTATAATGAATAATAATTATTTTGGCATCTATTTAATTTAGCGGTTTTAAGCTGTCTCACTAATATAGCTAAATTTAGTAGACGCAAATAATAGTAGGCTTAAGGTAAGTAAGCAAAATGTAAAAGCTGTTACATTTTGCTTACTTGGTTGATCAGTACCATTACTATCATTAGGTGGCTTGTTCTATTGGATTTATTTGCACGAGCTTCCAGTTGAGTCACTAAAATAGTGCACAAAGCTAAAGTCTGAATGCACTTTTTAGCGATGAGACTGGAAGCAAATGAGATAAACTCCAATAAAACACAATGCCACAAATAAATTAGTTCTTTCATGAAATTTTATTTATCCACAAATGCCTTATAAAATTGTTGCCAAAACAATTATGACAATTTAATATTCACGAAATGTAAGTGCTAACAAATAACAATGTACTTGTAACTACATTAACTTGTATTATACTGTATGTATGTATTGTATATTTATTAGAATGAATTATTGAAACAAGATTTTGAAAGTGAGAGGAAGGATCGAGAAAGAATAAATGACCAACTAATACAACTACAAAAACAACATGAAATATTGAAGCAAGAATCAACTGAGAAAGAAGCACAAATGAAATTTCATAAACTCAATAAATCAAAAAGTATTTTAGTGCGTGATTTAGAAGAGGTTTGTTAAAGAAAATTTAATATAATGTTCAATACTGATTTAATTATAGAGTAGGAAGGATATAGCTACTAAAGGTGCTGAAATTGAATCTTTAATTCAAAAGATTGCTCAACTTGAGAAACAACACACTGAAGAAATGAAAAAAATTAAAAAGGTGTCATATTTTTAACAATTTTATTTTACTGCTTAGTATACATGTACATGTAGAAACTCATAGATTCAGAAGCAGGAGAGACAGAAAGAATGAAAGAAATGAAGGAAGAAATGCAAATACTAACAGCACAAGTGAATGCTTACAGTCGTGAAGTGGACAAGCAAAAAGGATTAGTAACTCAGAGTCAAGAGAAACACAAAACTGAGGTATTGTGCATCATTTTCATGTGTTTTACATGGGTCAGTGTATATTGAAATTTCAATCTTTATTCTCAATAATCAATATACAAATGTAGGTTGTGTGTGTGCATGATGTGTTTAATTGACTAATACTGTAGGCTAATGAGCTGGCTAGAATGAGACAACAGTTAGAAAATGTATCTGCTGATAAAGAAGAATTACTGAGGGCATATCATCAGGAACAAGCAATGGTTACTAGACTAGAGGATCAAACACAAAGAATGAAGCAAGCTAACATAGTAAGTTATAAATTGCTAAATTTTAACCTTTTTATCATTTTTCTATAAACTTAAGGTTCTAAAGGACAAAGTTGTGGCATCAAGGCAGGCGCAGTCAGAGTTAAGCAGATTACATGGAGTTGAAAGGCAGCTGTCATCGAAGCAGGAAGAAGTTATATCTCTTCAAAAAATACTCTCAGGGTTCCAAAACACATGGGAATTGAGTCATAGAGAAGTGTCTTTGTTAGAAGAGCTGGGTAGAGGAGGATATGGTGTAGTATGGGTTGGACAATTAAAAGTCCGCTGTCAAGAAGTTACACGAACGGATAGTGAGCCAACATAATATGGAAACGTTTCATCATGAGATTGATATAATGTCACAGTTACGTCATCCTAACCTCCTCCAGTTTATAGGAGCTATATTAGACCATCCATCAGGTTGCCCCATGATTGTCACTGAAGTAATGGATACCTCACTACGTGAAGCTTATGAAAGGAGGGAATTGACTCCTGACCCAGGCTGTAGACCAGTGATTCTCTCTATATTACATGATGCAGCTGTTGGTTTAAACTACCTACACTGTCTACCTGATCCTATTATTCATCGTGATGTCAGCAGTGCTAATGTACTCCTTCAATCAATTGCTGGGACCAGAAAATGGAAGGGAAAGATATCTGATTTTGGATCAGCTAAACTTGCACAAAAAGCAATCACTGAAGGGCCAGGAGCATTTGCCTATAGTGCACCTGAAGCCTTTCAAAGCATTGCAAGTCAAGATCCTACTAAGAAGCAAACTACAAAGATGGATGTATTCAGCTATGGTGTTTTGCTTTGTGAAATAATAACTTGCCGTTTTCCAAACAGAGATATTTTTCGAGGCATGCTTCATCAAGTGCACGGCATTAGCAACAGACCAAGTGGTACTAGAGATACACAAGGCTCCCTTCTCCATTCTCTCATTGTATCATGCTGTCATGATGATTCTTCCAGACGCCCAACAATGAAAGAAATTATTGAACAACTTGACATTATATCAAAGTAAAAACAAAAATTCCTAATTTTTTCTACTTATTGGTACAATTTTTGCAAGTGAATTTATGTTTAGTGTGTGTCCTTAACTGAAAAGTTAAGATTTTAAAATTTAAAATACATTACAAATTAATTTTAAAACAGGCTCCACCTGTTGTTGAGCTCCTCCTACTTCCTAGTTAAAATGTGAAGTTGTTTGAAGTTGTTTGATGAGTGAGTACATCCTCGTATTATCATCAGTGAGCAGTTGTCTCTCAGTCAGGAACTACATAATATACTTTCAAGTAGAGACTAATAGACGGATAACTATTTTACTGTAAGAGCCTCAGATAATGACCAGTTTAGCCCCGAGCGGACCACCTCGTTACACTACCGACCAACCGCCGCCTCCACCGCAGCAGCACCACACGCTAGTCCCTCTCCTCCATCATCCTCACTACTCGACCGAGATGCTCCCATCAGCTGGAGGACAATTCGGAGACGACTCTCTCCCAAGAGACCAGTTCACATCGATCATATCCACCATGCCGCAGTTTATAGAAGACGAGCCGTATCCAGAGAACAGCCTGGAGAGAAAGGAGAGAGAGATCATACACACAAACCGAGTGAAACTAACTGATTACATACACGATGCGACTGTGCTCTTTCCTCACATGAAGCAGCATGGGATATTCTCAGTCTTTGACTGTGATGTTATAAAAGGTATTGTGGAATAATTATTAGTATTTTAGGTGTTTCATACGAAATTGTAGTTATTATTGGTAATTTGCTGGTGTAGAGTGGAATGTACTGTAGTATCTCCCAGACGAACACATGTTACATTTGTAAATGTAGTTTTAGTTATTACAGCATTATTATTTTTTACTACACCAGCAATGATATAATAATTATTGGCAAGTAGACAATTAAAATATAATCAGTTAAGATTTTAGGGAATTTAATCATCTCTTTGTACACGGTAACTTTATCTTTTTTTAAAATGCAGAGAAATTGCATGTTTCCTTTGCAGTAGTCACTGACTACTAATGGTCTAGTGCTATAATGAAAAGCTTATCTTTGTTAATTGATATAATATCATAACAATATCAGCAAGGATTTCCCTAGATGTGTATGTATAATATGAGCTTCATTGGGTGTCATATGCTACTAAACTGAAAGAAAAACATGTACAAACTTTTATCATCAGTGGACAATTATGACCTTCTCGCTCTCCTTCAGTTATTCTCCCGTATAAAGCTTTCAGTTTAATCCCGTTCCTTAAATGATAATTGATAAACAAAGTAGCAAATTATTTATTATTATAATTATTATTATTTGTTTTTGAAAGCGGATGGTTTCGATCTATATGCCATGCACATGCCTGCATTGCTAGTTGTGCATGTGGGCCAGTACTTACTGGCCACATGGTTGTCCAGTAGTCACTCAATTAGCTCAAAGTGAAAGAAAAACATTTTATTGTTTATTCAGCTCAGAGAGGGGATAGTGTAATAAACAGGCGCTTATCTGTTTCCAGTATAATAATAATTGATTATGTATCGCTGAATGTTTGTGTACTTTCCCTCTCCCTCACTCTCTCTCTCTGTAGGTGAAACCGTTGCTCATAATCGTGTTGATAAGTTCATTGATGTCTTATTGACCAAAGGCCCAAAGGCAATCGGTGTGTTTCACGAGTCCTTAGGAAAGACCTACCCTGGAGTCTTTGATTATTTGACAAGACTTTTTGCCAGCACTGGCATTGATTTACCAGAAACAAGACGAAGTAAGACAAGCATTCCTTTTCCTCAATTAATTTTTATGACGAATATGTCTCTTGTTCAGTGAGACCTGCTAGTATCATAGATCAAGTATCAGATGATTATCCTAGGGACGATGCCACAAGTAAAGACTCACAAGGAGGTAAAGAGAAAAAGAGGGATACAATATATCACTAATGCTATTATTATGTGTCTTAATGCAATATGGGAATGAGGGGGATCATATACACACATTATGGTCATTAAGTGGTTGGTATAGGGGGACTCTTTAGTGAGTAACAGTCTAGGAAGCTAACAAAACGAGTAATGTCTGCTATTTTCTGGGTCAATTCCCTTCTCATGTATTAGAGCATCTGGTACATGTTTACTTTATTTTGAGTAAATGCACACACAAGAAGACTGATAGACAATCCTTGACATATACACACATTGAAATGTACACAAGCACATGCATGTACACATGTTCACATAAACATGCACACATGGCAATCCAAAGGAGCTATATTGCCTCTGCCTTATCCTGTATTGCCAGTATAATAGTAATATACACGAGTATATGTAGTACAATGTAATATGATGAATATTATATAGTTTGTAAGAGTTGGTTGCCAGAGTTATGCAATCCTTGCCTTGTATGTATCCATATTGACATTGAAAGGATTGTTTCTGATTTTGGGGTTGATTTTGTGCCATTTTAGGAGGTCCTGGAGACGAGGAGAGTGGAAGTGCAACTGCAGGGAAGTCATGGGGACAGAATGTGAGCAGGAGGGGAATGACTGTTAGACGCAGCCTTGATGTACTCAGTAGGCAGCTGGATGCCATTCAGACTGAAAGAAATGAACTGAAGAATGCTCTGTCCTCAAAAGAAAAGGAAATCTCTGATCTTATAAGGTAGAGTGATTTCAGTGTGCCATGGGATGTGGAGCAGTTTCACTATCAAACAGTCTCTGATTTAATTGCATTAAATAAAATACCCAGAATCTGTTCATTATGAATGAGGTGCTTTCCCTTATCTTGCAAGCCCTTTGACTCCCCCCTAGTTTCACATATACATACTCTCCCATACCCTGTATTCACTTACTTAATTGCAGTCATTAATCAAGGAGTACTACTATAGTAATTGCCCTCTGTTGCTTGTTTGTCATTGCTAAGATACTTTCCCACAGATCAAAAGAGAAGAACAGAGACGACCTTCTCTCCATTACTCAGCACTACCAAGAAATTTACAAGAATTTGGTCAACTGGAAAGAGTCACTGACTTCTGAAAATTCACAAGTAAGCTACATAAATATACATTTATTATAGCTGTACGTTGATGCTCATCTTCAATACTTTTGTTGATTATTTAATTTCTTTTTTTCTCCAGCGTCTCCAAGAGCTCCTGGCAGAGAGGGAGTGCATTCAGGCTGAGTATGATGCTCTGGAGAATGATTATGCTTTAGTACAGCTGGAGCTGAGGGCAGCAAGAGAGAGGATAAGTCGACTAATGAATCACCTGGAGAGAAGTGAACAACTGGTGGCATTCACTCAAGAAGAGAGAGATGTCTTGCAGAATAAAGTAAGGGAATCAATAATTCATACACACACACACATACACTCGAAGCATAATCTTATTAATTAATTTTTATTGTGAAATTTGGCAGCACACAATGGTCCACCCTTGTTGTTATAACTGAAATATTTGGGCACAAATCTCATGCAGTGCTTTGCTTATTAGTGAAGGTTGTGCCACTGCAATAAATAAATAAATAAATGTACTACTTGTAGCAATCACAACAGATGCAGCTGCACTAACTGGAATATTTGAAAATGGGACATTTTGTAGTAGGAGGTTTGATGTTATGGAGTTGTTTCCTGGAATAGAGTTGCATTCTTTTAAATCATAATTTGAGGATATTAGTCCATTCCATATGGTGTAAAGTAACATGGACACATGTACTCACTACATGTCTCATTAATTTGTATGGCTACATGTACAGTGTATATTGACAGTTGTAACTGTGGCTTCTTCTAAGTATGTTTACATTCATCTTGTGTGGGTATGTTGAAGAGTAATTCTCATTTGAAGGTTGGTCAATTAGAGGGAGAACTTCAAAGACTAGAAAGGAAGAAGCAGAGGGATATGGGTGGAGCTAGTAAAGGACTCACGGCAGGAAGGAGAGACACTGAAGTGGACCAACTAGCAAAACAACTTGAGAAAGTAACCAGTCATTATTGACTCTGGATTATATTTGTGTTGTCTGTTAGTTGACCTGTTAAACCTTTGAATGGAAAGTTCCTGTTGGCATGAGCTTATACTGATGCTTTTGTTCATGTCTTTATTATCTAACTATTATTTACTCTTGATTATATTGGTGTACTAGTACCACTCCAGTAGTCCCTTAACCATAATGCATGATAGCAGCTCCACTCACTGATGTTAGTGATGTAGCTAATTTCTTTTGTTTCAGGCACAGAAAGAGCTCGAGGCCTCAAGAGCTGAGAGTGTTGAGCTCTCCGAGAGACTCACTGTGGCCAGGAGAGAGAGGAACGAGGCACTGGAAGAGAAAGATGAAATACTCCGGAAGCAATACCTTGAAGAACAAAAGAGAAAGAAATTGGAGAATGAGGTTAGGAAATGAGACCATGAAGTCATATTGGAATCATTTGTCTCTTTCCCTTTGTGTTTCCTTTTCTCATCTTCCTCCTTGTTTCCTCATTGTCTGGTAGTTGAGAGGAATGTACAAGAAGCTTCAGCAGATCAAAGACTCTTCAGAGAGTCACTCGAGCGATGGCTCTTACTCCATGCACCCGGGATATCCTGAGGTGATTTGTCGCATGATCAGTGATAACTCATTGTAGCATCCCATAGTGTAGTAGACTGTTGAATGATCCTTAATGTTATATGTACCCATAGGGCACTGTTGAAGTCAAGATGGAGGATTTCACTACCGTCATACAAGCATCAGAAGGTGAATTATTGAAACATTTGCATGTGATAGGCAGGATAATAGTGTTAGTTGAACTTTTCTCTCTTTATTATAATCATAACATGCACATGTATTACATAACATATAACACATACATGTGTATACTGTTGATTATTGAGTCCTTCCATTGTCAGATATGGGGATGAAGTTGGGTCTAGGTATACTGGTAGTCCATGTTGATGAGAATGGTTTAGCTACTCGGTGTGGCATTAAGCCAGGGGATCAGCTCTGTCAGGTGAGAGGGTTTGGAATTGCGAGCATGCAGACCTTTTAATGAGATTATTATTAGCTAATATACTCAACTATTTGACGTGTTATCAATTTAACAATTACCCTCCTTCTCTTTCTCTCTAGATTAATCACATTACCGTTACATCTGATCGTGACCCTCTTGATCTTTGCAATCGCCTATTACACAATGCTTCAACACTAGTAACTCTCTTGATCCGTAGACCGGTCGTATCATACGAGACTAGCACTGGTACGGGGGTAGGGGGGAACAGCAGGACAATGACCTCTAACTCTGTACAGACCCTGAGCATGATACACCAGACCCCTTCTACTAATGACGCAAGGAAAGCTTCTACCATAGGCCGGTTTGCATTGGTATGTTCTTTAAATGATAATGCTGTACATGTACATGTACATGTATATATTTGACTGTTTATGTGCATTGTACTTTATGTTTAATACGGTATGTATATGTACATGTATGCGTTACTGATGTTGTAAGATACTGAAGGTTTTTCATAAAGGAACTGGGGGAGAGTGATAGAATCTACATTTGTTATTTTAGTATAGTTATATCATAATGAAGGCCTGCCTTGAGACAATTATAATGTATTAGTCTAATGATAATATTGAAAATTAAATATGTACACAGGCTGATAAGGAAATGGTAACTAATTCTTTTCTGTTTCTTTTTCTCTTCCTCTTTGCTATACCTCTCCTTTCCTCCCCTCCCTCTCTCTCAGCCTCTTAACAACTGGGATGCTGGTAACTCATTCGTACCCGACTATCTGGGATGCTTTCAGCCTACTCCTGCTTCTTCTAAACAGATGGTTGGTAGCTTGCCAAATCCAACTCCGATGAAATCAGCATCACCAACACTTGCTTCACTGCCAGGGAGAGCTGATGTAAGATATTGTGTCTGTAGAGAAAGGAAAGAGAGAGACAGAGACAAAGAGAGAGAGCTAGGGTTTGGAACTTGATATGTACAAGTATGTCTTTTTAGATGGTCACACATGGCTTCAATATGTTGAACAAAAGAAGAAAAATGAAAAATAATAAAAGAAAGAACTCAGAAGATGCCCAGAGCTGTCATGTGAGGACTAGAAAAATAACCTTTAAATAATATTATTCCTTATTAGTTATTCCTTTTTATTAATCATTGCTTCTTATTATTATAGACTTCTTCATCGGATGACGATCAAATGGAGATCTCATTCCCTCCTGATCTCTCTAGCTCTTTTGATAACAGCAACACTGGGATAGTCCATTCTCCTGATAACCTCCGCAAGGGAAAGTTTGACTATCGCTGCTCTAACACCGACGATGAAGACCTACCTCCTAGCATCTCCCGTCCATCAACTTTCATCACTGACGGATCCGATGATTATGAACTGGGAGGAATGGCAACACTTAACGTGAAAGACCCACTGGTAAGCCACTAATAATTAATGCATACAAGTATAGGGAATGTAGTAATAGTAATAATGCAATCAGGCTGGAGCTAGTATAGGGATTCTAGTAATTAGTAGGCTCTCTATTAGTTCATTGTGGTTGAGTTCATGCTACTTTACTTTTAGGATGATATTGATAAAGAGAGTAACAGTTCTTCTAATATCAGTCCCTCTCGTCCTCCCTATCTCCAGCTGTCCAGCACTCCTGCAGATATCACTGTCTCTAAGAAGAAGGCAGAGAGCCCAAGACTGAAAAGAGCTGAAGCTAGAAGAGTCAGTATTAGAATGAGAGAGAGAGAGAAAGAGAATGAGGGGGAATCAAGAGATCTGTGTTATGTTCTTTTCAAAATTGCCCCCAATTTATTATTATTTATTATTTTATGCCCAGCATTATGTAGCAAGTTTGAGCTGATTGAATTTATTCTATTGGATGATAAGTTACTAGTATCTTTTATCACACACACAAACACATAAACACATTGATAGTGGATGGCTAAACACAGAAGATCACAGTCCCTTGTTGATATGAATGACGTTGCCAATGCTATAGTAGTGGATACCACAGATCTGAAGTAAGCCCGACCCACTGCTAATGATAATATCCTTCTATTAGTACCAGGCGTGTCATAATACCCTGGGGTCGTCTGGGCGACGGTATCTCGTTAGTTGGTGGGCGTGGTCGGGGTATCTTTATATATTCAGTAAAGGAAGACAGTCGTGGGCTGCAGACTGGAGACGAAGTGTTAAAAGTGAGTAAATTGTAATTATGAATTAATTGCATGGGTATGTCTTAATTATGAGCTAATTGCGAGCTAATTAGTGAACATTTTTGTGGGTTTTGTGTTCACTCAAGCAGTGACTCTCATGTCACTATAGTAAGTACATTTGTATTCATCCATTTCTTCTTTGTAATAGATTGGAGGTGAGTCGGCGAAACACATGACGTATTCGGATGCTGTGAAAACGATTGAGTTTTATGCCAGCAAAGGAGACCAGTGTATGATAACGGTCCAGAGTAATCTAGAGGGTGAGCTATTGAGAGAGAGAAAAAGAGAGAATTTATTCTATAATGTTGTGTGCTTTATTTAGGGTTTAAGAAACTATCATCACTCCAAGATAGAGACTCATTTTATGTCAAGTAAGAGAACCATAACAGAATCTTATGATTATTCTTATATTATTTATTTATTTCTCTTTCTTTTGCAGGACACTCTACAGTCACAAGAAAGCACTGGCCCCCAAGGAGCTGACATTTGACGAAGGAGAAGTGATGAGAGTCATAGACACAATGCCACCAATGCCAAACATGTGGAAAGTGAAGCGTATTGACGCATATGGGAAGGAGACAGAGGAAGGATACATAAGCATTGAGAGCACAATGGAGAACTGGTCACAGAAAGTCCAAGCTGGCACAACAGCCACCTTCCCCATTATATCGAGATTCTCACAAAACAGGAGACTCAATAGTACCCCTGGGCCGGAGGGTTTTCAGTCTCTGCGTAAACCAGGGACCAGCGAAGAACCTTACGACATGTTCCAGCCAGTCAGGATGTTAAGAGGTAAGAGGATATACAGCTATAATAGGGTATCCCCCTACACATTGGAAGAAGCCACAGTGCTAGTATATATTTCATTATAAAAGGCTTGTATACGTGCTGTGTAGAAAGTTTAAGTTTAAGCTATAATTGGGTTGTTTTTATAAATTTTAAAATGGCCCCAAGATTAGCTTAAGTATATACTGTGGACTTGTTAGTACAGAGTATTTTGTCAAAAATATCTAGGATGAATGTCTTCATCCTGATGTTGTTTAGAAAGTTTGAGCAGATTCCAATCAAAATATGATTTTTAACGAATTTAAGTTGCTCAAAAATTGGGCCAAAGTCCCTGCTGGCCAAATTTTGACAAAAATGTCAAAGAAAAAATTTTCTATTTTTATAATTTTTTTGGATGCATATACTGTACATGTACTTATGTTGTGTAGAAAGTTTGAGCTAGTTTCGATCAAAATTAAATTTTTAATGAATTTTTAATGAATTTTTAAAGTTGCTTAAAAACCAGGCCAAAGTCCCTGTACTATGTACAGTGTCATTGGCCGAAATTTGCCAAAAATGACTAGGCAAGAATCCTGCATTTTTATATATTTTTTTGATGCATATACATGTACTTATGTTGTGTAAAAAGTTTGAGCTAGTTTCGATCAAAATTGAATTTTTTAATGAATTTTTAAAGTTGCTCAAAAACTAGGCCAAAGTCCCTGTACTATAGTACAGTGTCATTGGCCGAAATTTGCCAAAAATGACTAGGAGAGGATCCTGCATTTTTATATTTTTTTCTGATGCATATACATGTACTTATATTGTGTAGAAAGTTTGAGCTGATTTCGATCAAAATTGAATTTTTTATGAATTTTAAAAGTTGCACCAAAAGTTGGCCAATTACCCTGTACTACATGTACATTGTCAACCTGTTTTCATGATATTGGCTATCAGTTTTTTGCCTTCATCTTGCCAATAAAATAGGAATAATCACTTTTTAGTATTATACATGTACATCCTTATTTTTTGCTACAGTCAACTCCCCAAGGCCCGTTATCATAATGGGAGTGTGTGAGAATGAAGTGAGACAAGCTCTCCTGGAAGACTCTGCCTTCTCTCTGCCTCCAATAAGTAAGTGATGCCCTAATTCAGTGCATTGAGAGAGAGACTGTGTTTATGTAGAGTCCCACACTTCACTCACAATGCTTAAAGACAATGAAGGAGCCACTGATCATATCCTCTTAAAGAGGACTGGAGAGAATGTCCGCTATTGCATAGTATCTGACATCAAATCAATTGCCGACCAAGTAATAATAATAATGGTTACCATTGTCGTAATAAATATAATAAATTATAATAAATAAGTATAATTAGAATAATAAAAAATCAATAATAATAATAATAATACCAATGATGATGATGATCATTTATTATATAATTATAATTGTCAGGATCAACACTGTGTGTTGATGGTAGAGCCAACACAATTAAAGAACAATCGTGCCCTCTCCTCCATCAATCCCATCACTTTATTGTTATTCACTAAGAAGAGCAGCACAATCACCTTCAAGTAAGTGTCCAGGACATTATTAAATACTAAAATAATAAATAATAAAAATTAATGATAAAATAATAGTAAAAATAATAAAATAATAAAATGTAAAGTAACTACTAATAACACTACAAGTGGCACTTGATTCCATTTCTGTAGGTTCCAAGTATACAAATGCTCATCTGAGACTGTCAGTAAGTATCTTCAGGATTTAAAGCAGATAGAAGATGAATACTCGTCTTGTTTTACTGGTAGGAATAAAATATTATTAGTTTTCATTGAATTCTTGTGCTTTTTGTAGGCAAGATTGAGATTAGTGGCGGGTTGGACAACATTGTCAAACAAGTTAAGAGTGAAATAGCGTGTCAACAGAATATGGTCATATGGGAAGAAGAAGACTGAGTCATTTTTATTTCATCATAATCATCAGAAACAAAATTAATAATTATTATCATCTTTCATTTTTATTCTTTTAGTGTAATGGCTGCTGCTTCAGGCAAAATGCTGCCATCCATATCACGCAAAGTCTGGGACTCTAAATTTTTCATAGAAAGTTACAATTTGTATAATAATTAGCACCTTGAAGTGTAAACCAGGCCTGATAGATACCAATTAGCATCTCAATTTGTATAATTGCAACTTTGTTAACACCTTGAAATGAACAAAAGTATAATTTTTAATGCAAATCTTTGGAGGGCAAGCTATTTTGAATTTTAGCCTTATAATAGCTACCAGCTTAGTCTCACCTCGCCCCTTCACCACCTACTACCAGCTTAATAGTGTAGCTCAAGTCACAGTCATATCTTATTTGCAGCTAACAACTTTGCAGTACATTGAAAGACATATTCAATTTACAATTATAATACTTCAAATAATTAGGACAATTGTATAATTGTAATAATTTGAATAATAAAGAATCAAAAGTACACACCACAAAAGAAAGGGAAAGTGATGAAAGATACAAGACAAAGTTTCATCATCCAATCCTCATCATTTTCTTTCAAGAGCTTTAAATCTGGCCTCTAGAAAAAAGGAAAGTAGAAAACAAAAGATATTAATTGTGTATCTGATTCAGTAATGGCTAACCTAATTGCTTGGCATAGCTGTCTAGTCTGTATGCTGTCTGCTCTAATTCAGCAACTCTAGTATCAACCTGATCAATCTGATCACAGTATTGCTGCAACGATACAACTGCATGAAAGAATAAAGGAAAAAAGTAAAAGAATTTTGTATTTAAAACTAATGCATAAACCAGACGTAGGGTAGATTACAAAAAAATATTTAAAATGTAAAATTCTCTTCTTTGGCCCAATTTTTTAGTAACTTTAAAAATTCGTAAAAAATTCAATTTTGATCGGAATGCGTTCAAACTTTCTAGACAACATAAGAACATGTATCTGTATCAGGAAAAATTATAAAAATGAAGAATTCTTACCTAACCATTTTTCGTGAAATTTAGCCAAAGTACCTGTACTATAGTACAGGGACTTTGGCCTAATTTTTGAGCAATTTAAAAAATTCATAACAAATTCATTTTTGATCGGAATACGTTCAAACTTTCTACACAACATAAGCACATGTATATGTATTAGAAAAAATTATAAAAATAAAGAAATCTCTCACAGCCATTTTTGACAAAATTTTGCCCGATACCATGGTCTTGGGCCAGATTTTTTAGCAACTTTAAAAATTCATTAAAAAAATCTAATTTTGATTGGAATCAATTCAAACCCAGGTATACAATATCAACATCAGAACATGTACACATATAATATAATTATATATATAGAAATTGAAATAGAGAATTCTCCTCAAATTCTAACTGACCCCAGGTCTGGTGTAAACTAATTATTCATTAAATTTCTTACACTTGTCATTCAAGCGTTGAGACACGTCAGCCAATCCCGAAGCAATAGTAGTCATGTCATTGTATTTGGCAATAGTGACTTGGTTGAGGCGCAGTAATAAATCATATTCTTCACATGTCACTAAAGAAAATGAGTTTATATAATGTTATAATGAAGGAACAAATCACGGGCAGTTCTTACTAGCTAGCTCTCCGTTGACATAGTCAGCTACTTTATCAAACATGTCACGAGTCAGTTCTCTGGTTTTTTCTTTCTTTTCGTCATTCTTCTTGGTTGCTTCTTCAGCCAAAGCCGCCAATGTTGAAGGTACTACAACAGGCTCAGCAGCCATTTTGAGGGCGGGACGAAATTTAACCACGCCCCTAAACTTTAATATCTATCCTGTTCCTATTAGGCCTGAGCCTATTATGCACATAAATTTTCCTATTATTCTTTCTAGAAATTCTCAATATTTTCCCCCATTATTCTTTTCATTTTATCCTATTATTCTCAATAATTTTCTCAAGCAATCAATTTTTGCATTCCAGTGGCGTTTTCAAAATAGGTCTTCCAAAAAGCACTAGCCAAAATTAATAAAAATTCTTCTGCAATTCCATTAACTTCAACTCCACCCATTATTCCTAGTTCCACCCAATTATTCCAGTATTATTCCTCATATGAGGAAGCCCCTATTATTCCTAAAATTATGCTGGCATAATAGGCTCACCCCTAGTTCTTATTACCAAATTAATACAAACACCCACCAGGTAATAATAAACGACTGCAACCTATGACTAGAATAAAAACACATGCTTATTGTTCTCAATTTTCATCTCAATGCATCAATATAATAATAATACCGTAATAATAATTAATAATAATAATAATATCATTAAAAGAGTTGCAACTACACTCCATATGATTGATTATAAGTAAGAAAGAGAGAAAGAGATGGAGTAATACCAGTTGCAATTTAGCGACTTGATGGTATAATTGAGTCTCTCTCTTCTCTTCTCTCTCAGCGACTATAGGGATGATGGTGACCATGAACATGATGTGAGTGATTGTTGTGAGCGTAATTGGATCTCATAGGACCATAACGAGAATTATAAGCTAGAGAGAGAGAGAGAGAGAGGGAGAAAGAGAGAGGGGGGGAGAGAGAGAGGGGGGGAGAAAGAGAGAGGGGGGGGGAGAGAGAGAGGGGAGAGAGAGAGAGAGAGAGAGAGAGGAGGGAGAGATAACTATGGCACTATTCGAGTATTGATTAAAAATCTACAGCTTTGTCAAACTGTGTTACAGTTAACAGCAGCTAGAGTGTCCAGTACTAGTATCATACTCTACTCACCTACTTCCTCTCTCCTCCCCCCAGTGTATGGGTCATACCCACCGCCGTACCCTCCATATCCACCATAGGCCCCATAGGCTCCACCCATGTACGACCCACCATAGTGAGGAGGTGGGAAATAGTTGAAGTAGCCGGCATGACCGCCGTAAGGTGCCCAGTGTCCACCTCGTCCGCTTTGGGCGTGCATGATGTGACCACGCCCACCTCTTCCCATAAAAGGAGGTGCAGCATTGCCGTGTGACATCCGTTTGTCTTGTTCTCTGGGCGTGGCTCTCTTCACTTCAACCTACACAGACAGATACAATAGACTCAAGTATTCGTAATTAACATAGAAATTTATGCATGCCAAGTGTTTTTTATTACAGAGAAATGGAAGCACTTTAATGAGAATATTACCACTTGAGGTACAAAACATGCTACTAATTTATGGCTGCCAAAATGAAACCAAGGCCAATAAGCCACAGACACTATTGGTCAGTAACTACACACATACATACACAATGCAGTACAGACTACTATACAACATAGTCTCGAGTCCAAATCAAACAATAGACTTACATCGGATTCGTTGATTTTGTGAAACGAATTGCAGCAAGCTTTCTCTGCCGTGTCTTCACTGAGGAACGTGACAAAGCAAAACCCACGTCTCTTTTTGTTCGAGCCTGCTCCTTTCTCCGTTACCAAGGCAACCTCCTCTATCTAGTGAAACAAAAATGATCAGACATAAGTATTAACTCTCTTTCTGTTTTTCATCTTACTGGTCCAAACTTTTCAAAGTGTTCCTTGATCGTATGCTCAGGCATATCAGTCGGTACGCCACCGACAAATACCTTTTTAGTCCTTTGCTTCATTTGCTATTTTAAAAAGAAAAAAACAAACAATAAGCTAACACGAAACAATAAACAATAATAAAAATAACACTAAAATAATTACAAACTTGACTGACCTGATGGACAGCGTGAGGTATGGCCTTCTTGGTATCAACAACCTTATCTCCTATTGTGTGGGGAGATGCTTCTAGTATTTTGTCTACTGCATCGTTTTCTTTAAACAATAGAAAAGCAAAACCGCTAAAAAAAGGAATCAGTCTAATAGAACTGTATGTGATAAAGTGGGGGGAATACCGTGAACGTCCCGTAATTGGATCGACTTTTAAAATAATCTCACTAATCGTGCCATATTCTTCAAAGTATTCTTGTAGAGTTTCTAGAGAAGTAGAGAGAGAGAGAGAGGGAGGGACAGAAAGAAGAGAGAGTGGGGGATGGTGTGTGGTTTATGGATGAATAAACAGAGTGAGAGAGGGCAGAGTTGGGAAAAGGAAAACCATTGCCACAAAAGTTTGGAAAATATGCCACAAAAAAAAAACACGGGGAAATGTTAATTCTTTCCCCCTGCCCTTTCTCGCTCTAATCACATTATAGAAAGCAGATTATCATAATAGCAAGCAACCACTGACTGGCAATATCTCAACCATTAAAAGGGAAGAGTAGGCCAGAGAAAGACATAAATAATTATACATACAAACAGTGAGATTAAAAAAAAAACTATTTAAAAGATGGCCTACGTTCTGTGGTGTCTGAAGTTAGCCCTCCAACAAATAGCTTGCTATTGATAAAACACAATATCGCACACAAACACACACGATTGAGTGAGAGTTGTCATGGGAGGAAAAAAAGAGAAAAAAAGAGGTAAATGAACTTGTTCTTTAGCCTAACAAAATCTGTGATAGAAAAATTGAAAAATTTATAGACACAAAAAAATGTAAAAAGTGGAACTCTTGCGTCCCCCTAATGGATTTAGTAGGGAAAACCCTATGACCTAAAAAAGGTTATAAAAATCCAAAACAATCACATACAGACAGAGAACTACAAGGAGATGCATAGTGTACTTAAGTGTACACATACTGTACAATATGTGTGACAATAATGTGAGACAAAGAGAGACAGACATACACTTACTGATCATCATAAGGCACATCATTATTAATGTTCATTGGTTCTACTCCATCACTTGTCATCTCTGCTTTAACAGGGATTGACTGTGTGTCCATTATCTCCTCCTAAAAAGAAAGAATGTACTAATACATGATGGAGTAAATAAGAAAGTAAATAGTGGGATTATCAATACTTCATTGTTATGGAAAGGTAACAATGATGACTAGGACATACTGTGAGGGAGAGTGGCTAGACTATGATTGTAATATAGAGGTCAAAATAAAACTAGTTATGTACTATAGTTGTTTTCGGTTGAGTTTGACCACTGACCCACACTTATAAATTCTCTATAATTTATGCTAGCATCTTGAAACTTGGTATAGTTGTAAAACGGGTTCTTCCAAAAATCTATACCAATTTTAAGGTCTCTGGAAGGTAAAAGGTTCTTCCGGTCAACATGAAAGGGAGCTGCCATGATGTTTCAAGATGTCTAGCATCGTGAATATCTTTTACATCTCATTAAATTTGTCACTAATCATGTTTTTATTATCCTAAAATATTATTAAATTATACAAAAGAAACATTCCAGGCCAAGATATGACTGAAGTAAAAGACTTTGTACTCCAGGAAGAAGTCTCCCTTAGTCTGCTGTGCCTCTCTAAGCCTTCTTTATTTATTATTACTTTTACCGTTCAGAAACTCCTTTGCAATCTTGGATATCTTGATTCTTTCTTGAGGTAATAGGAAGCACAAAGGTTCTTCATGTCAATTGCAGGGTTAGCAGTAACCAAAATAGAAAAAACACATTACAAGAGCATGCTTGAGTTTTCAGCCATTGTATCTACGTGTGGGTGGGGTTACACTTGACGTTTTGATGATGAAAACATCTGGTCAAACTCAACTGAAACTGACTATACTGATACCAACCCTTCCATCTTGCATACAAATGTTTCACTTGGCACGCATTTCAAAAATACCAAAGGCAAAGCTCTTGTATAAATTAATATACTGATTGTTATTAAAATAAATAACGAGTTCCTTTTTGAATGATATTGATACAACATATGTACACAAACCACTGGCAATAACAAATAAAGAAAGGAAGGATGGGACGGTGCTAATGTGTACATATATGTACATGCTCTACATTCTACAACCAAATCAGCACAAATGGATTCCAGAGCTAATAGGAACTAATTGAGGCAAAGAGAGTGAGAAATGAGGTGAGAGACAAATTATTGCCCACTGGTTATTGTACAAGCTTTAGAAATGATATAAAATAAGTAGATCTACTACTAGACTTTATGAATATAAAAAAATATGTTATATATAATCAGTGTCTCACCATTTCCTCACTCTCTTCAACTACCGAGGTTTCACCGTTCGTCTCGCCATTCGTGTGAACTTCCGTCATCCCTTCTTCCACAGAACTGATCAGTCGCTAATCCTTTAGACACACGTAGAGAGGAGAGGAGGAGAAAGTGAGTGCGAGAGACAGTTAAGCGAAGGACTTGGACGGAGACAGCAACACACGTTTCCTATTCCCTTGCTGTGTGTGAGGTTCAGCAAACTCTTGCGCATGCGCAGTCACACCGCGCGGTTGCGCGGGCCCGTCGACCAACACGTCTCCGTTGTCGAACCGTCGTGCAAAAACTGTTTCTTCTGCGCATGCGCATAAAATTATTATTAATAATAGTTGTTAGTTTCCAATTAGAGCCCACAATTTGCAGGAACCAGGTGAAAAACATCACACAACCTCTCTCTCCTTCACTCTTTCATTATTAGAGCTATGTATAGAATCCAAGGAGTCTGTAGGCGACTGGTATCTCCCAGCCTATCTTTAAATTGGCTGAGATTGCAGGGGTTCGTACTAAAATGATGCCTGCAGTGCATGCTCATTAATCCTCTCTTTTTTATAGTTCCAAAGCCTCAGCAGAGCCCTTCTTGTCTGGGTCTAGCAGCTCTTACCTAGAGCAGATGTACGAGAGCTGGCAGTCTGACCCAAATTCTGTTCACAAGGTGTGAAGAGACAATATACATGTATTTCCTGTCCTGTGATATTATTAATTTTCTCATTAGTCTTGGCAGGCGTACTTCAACAACGTGACAAGAGGGGATTTACCAGGTCAGGCGTATCAACGGGCTCCACCTCCAGACACTGGTCAGTACGTCCCTCCTGCATCAAGTGCAAAGGACATACAAGACCATCTTAACGTCCAGGCTTTAATTAGAGCTTATCAAGTGAGTGGGCTCTAATTAGAGTATGCTATCTATTATTATTGTTATTATTATTGTAGATTAGTGGTCATCGTATTGCTGATTTGGATCCACTGGGGATGGGAGATGCTGATCTTGACCCAAATATTCCTTTTGAACTCTTGCCTGAGAAGATTGGTATGTGTGTACATGTACATGCAACTATGTATAATTATTGCATTTTTAGTATTATTATTATTATTATTATTATTATTATTATTATTATTATTATTATTATCATTATCAAAAGGGGAACAAACAAATAAATGAAGCATTGGAATAAAAGGGGGACCCTGGGAAAGAAAACAATAACTGTCATTACTATTATTGAAATATAATCATCATTACTATTATTATTTTGGATTTTTATTAATCTTCTATCTCTTAGGTTTCACTTCTGGTGACTTCCAGAGGACCTTTCAACTCCCAGTAACAACTGTCATTGGAGGTCGTGAGGATAACCTGACCCTGGAGGCCATACTGGCCAGACTGAGGAGCGTGTACTGTACTCACATTGGACTGGAGTACATGCACATTAATGACAGGTCAAAATGTAAGAGAGACCATTATTATTATTGCATGTATTATTATTGTTGTTGTTGTTATTGTTGTGAAGGTGACTGGATTAGAACTAAATTTGAGCCTCCTGGTATCACTGAAATGTCAGTGACAGACAAAAAGAGGTTACTGGCACGACTGATACGCGCCACAAGGTGAGGGGGGAGTGACAGATTAATGGAGGGAAAGGTCACATGCTCTACATGTGCTACATTTACTGTATTTGTCATACTAATTACATGTACATGTTCATTTACATGTAGGTTTGAGGAGTTTCTGGCCAGTAAATGGACCAGTGAGAAGAGGTTCGGTCTTGAAGGATGCGAAGTGCTGATACCAGCTCTGAAGACTATCATTGACCACTCTAGTTATGCTGGAGTGGAGAGCTTCAACATTGGGATGCCACACAGGTTAGGTAGTGTAGTATACTGGAATGTACTGAGGTATACTGTATTTATTGTGTATTTTTAGGGGGCGATTGAATGTGTTGGCTAATGTAGCAAGGAAGCCATTAGAGCAACTGTTTTTACAGTTTAATCCACAACTGGAACCAGGAGATGAAGTAAGGGGAAGGAATGGAGTAGAAATTTTTTGTTACTATTTAATCTTTTTAAAAATATTTATAATCAATATTTTTAGGGTTCTGGTGACGTGAAGTATCATCTAGGAAGCTTCATAGAGAGAACAAACAATATCACACACAAGCCTATCAAAATATCACTTGCTGCCAATCCATCTCATTTAGAAGGTAATGCTCTCATTCCTTATTTTGTCTATATACATTTGTACATGTACATGTATGTGTATTCATTCCCCTCTCTCTCTTTCTCTCTCTCTTTTTAGCTGTTGATCCTATTGTTCAAGGGAAGACCAGGGCACAGCAGTTTTACCAAGGTGATAAGGAGTGTAAGAGTATCCTGAGTTTTACTGATCATTCCTTGTTATACAGGGCAAGCATTCAATGAGTATACTCCTTCATGGAGATGCTGCTTTTGCTGGACAAGGTGTGGTATATGAGACCTTTCATCTCTCTGATTTACCAGACTACACTACGCATGGCACTGTGCATGTCATTGTGAACAATCAGGTTAGGGTTTATTACACCATTGTATATTCTGTTTAAATATTGTTAGTTGATTCAGAGAGGGAGGATATATATTTTTAATGATATTATTTTTTGATGTATTTTGTTAGATTGGATTCACAACTGATCCTAGAGTAGCCCGATCCTCTCCTTACCCCACTGATGTTGCCAAGGTAAACCACACACTAAGGGCATGTCTATTTTTAGTAACACTATCTCACAAATAGTGTCTATTTATAGTAACACTGCCTCTTCCCTCTAGGTTGTTAGTGCTCCTATATTTCATGTCAATGCAGATGACCCTGAAGCTGTCATGCATGTCTGTAAAGGTGTGTGTGAATATTTTTGATATGTTTAATTTTCTCTTTGTCTCTCAGTTGCTTCTGAATGGAGGTCAACTTACGGTAAAGATGTGGTAATTGATCTCGTTTGCTATCGGAGGAATGGTCACAATGAAGGAGACAATCCAATGTTTACACAAGTGAGAGAGAGTGGCAGACAGAGTGACTCCATTGCTTGACAATGATTAATCTTGTCTCTTAGCCTGAGATGTATCAGAAGATTGCAAGGCATGATCCTGTCCTCAAGCAGTATGCTGCTAAACTTATCACAGAAGGAGTTGTGACTGAGAAAGAATATGCAGTAAGGACATGAAATACATGTACATTAATTAGCCAGTGATACTATTATGGTTATTGTTATTATTATTATTACTATTTACGTGTATTTATAGGAAGAATTAGCGAAGTATGATGAAATATGCAAAGAAGCTTACAGACAGGCAACTTCTGAAGAGATCAAACTACATCATGCCTGGATTGACTCACCTTGGGATGGATTCTTTCCTGAAGATGTGAGGAAGAGAAGGAATGATTTTAATTTTGATAACACCCTCTCTCTCTCTCTCTCTCTCTCTCTCTCTCTCTCTCTCTCTCTCTCTGTGTCTCTCTCTCTCTCTCTCTCTATCTCTCTCTCTCTCTCTCTGTCTCTCTCTCTCTCTCTCTGTGTCTCTCTCTCTCTCTCTACTAGGGAAAGATACCCACTACAGTAAAATCTACTGGGATTAGTGATGAGTCTTTGTTGCATATTGGAGATGTGGTCTCCTCAAGTCCTGAGGATTTTAACTTACACCCAGGTCAGACCACACATACATGTATATACTGTATATGTACATGTACATGTATGTAGCTTATCAATGTCCCTCATTGTTGCTTTACAGGTCAGAAAAGAATATTGAAGGCACGCAAGGAAATGATGAAGAGCCGTGAAGCAGACTGGGCCATGGGAGAAGCATTTGCATTTGGATCACTATTAATGGAAGGTGGAGGAAGAAAAGGGATGCTTTAGTTTTAGTATTGTTACCTTGGTTAGGTACACACGTGCGTCTGTCTGGTCAAGATGTGGAGAGAGGCACTTTCAGTCATAGACATCACGTGTTCAATGACCAGAAGGTGTACAACAGACAATATAGGTAATTTACAACTACTGGGAACATGGAAGTTTATAATGGTAGTCATGGTCTTTGCTTTTGAGCTTTTTTGTGGAGAGTTTTCTCAGAATCATTGTAGATAAAGTGATATACATGTACATGTATATAGTCCAATTAAGACATGTACATGTAGGATTAATATACTCCAAGAGAATGCGACTTTGGTTCAATTTTTGAGCAACTTTAAATATTTGTAAAAAATCTAATTTTGATCAGAATCAGCTCAAACTTTCTACGCAACATAAGTACATGTATATGTATCAGAAAAAAATTTAAAAATGCAGAATTCCTTCCTAGTCATTTTTGGCGAAATTTGGCCACACCCTGTACTATAGTATAGGGACTTTAGCCCGATTTTTGAGCAACTTTACAAATTCATAATAAATTCAATTTTGATCGGAATCTGTTCAAACTTTGTACACAACATAAATACATGTATATGTATCAGAAAAAAATATAAAAATGCAGAACTCTCTCCTAGTCATTTTTGGTGAAATTTGGCCACATCCTGTACTATAGTACAGGGACTTTAGCCCGATTTTTGAGCAATTTTACAAATTCATAATAAATTCAATTTTTATTGGAATCTCCTCAAACTTTGTACGCAGCATAAGTACATGTATACACATCAGAAAAAAATAGAGAATTATCTCCTTTTCATTTTTGGCGAAATTTGGCCATACCTTGTACTGTAGTACAGGAACTTTGGCCTGATTTTTTAGCAACTTGCAAAAATCCAATTTTGATTGGAATCTGCTGCAACTTTTACACACTACCAAGTGCCAATATGGTACTTATTTCTCCCTTTCCCTCAGGCAGCTGAATCATCTCTCTGATAATCAGGCCAAGTACACAGTCTGCAACAGCTCCTTGAGTGAGTTTGCTGTGTTGGGGTTCGAGTTAGGTTTCTCAATTACTAATCCTAACGCTCTCATACTCTGGGAGGCTCAGTTTGGGGACTTTCACAACAATGCACAAGTAATGGCTACTTATTCCTATGCTAGTGTCAAACTGTCAATCTCTCTCTTTCTCTATTCTAGTGTATCATTGATCAGTTTATTTGTTCTGGCCAGGATAAGTGGGTTAGACAGAGTGGCCTAGTGTTACTCTTACCCCATGGCTATGAAGGTACATTGACTACATTCATTGACCATACTAATGATACTATACTTGTATTACTCTACCTTTCTCTAAGGAATGGGTCCAGAGCATTCCAGTGCTAGGCTGGAGAGATTTTTACAGTTATGTAAAGATGATGGTGACATATGCCCCGACATTTCTAAGGACAATTTTGAAATTTCTCAACTCTATGACTGCAACTGGATGGTAATAATAATGACCTAACATTTCATGTTAATTTTCATTAATTTTTTTCCTTAATTCTTTATTATAGGTTGTAAACTGTACCACTCCTGCTAATTTCTTTCACGTTCTTAGACGACAAGTCATTCTACCTTTTAGAAAACCAGTGAGTATTTGTTTACTGTAGTTTTAGATGGGGTTTGGCTTCAAATTTTCCTTCTGATTATTGCATCTCTATCACCACAGCTAGTTGTCATGTCACCCAAGAAATTGTTGAGATTGCCCGAAGCTAAATCATCATTTGATGACATGCTAGAAGGTAAATAATGAGACACATACGAATGTACATCTAAATGGGAATTTTTTCATCCATAAGGTACCTCATTTAAGAGACTCATTCCCGATAACTCAGACTTAGGATCCAGTTCTGTAAAGCGACACATCTTCTGCTCTGGTAAAATCTACTATGAACTAGTTAAACAGAGAGAGGCGAACAACATGAATAATGAAGTGGCCATTACTAGAATTGAGCAAGTACGTTAAAATCCTATTAAAAGACTTCAGCAAAATTTCTTTTTATTCTCCTCTCAGATCTCACCCTTTCCATATGACCTTGTCATTGAGCAGCTGTCAAGATTCCCTCAAGCTGACATTGTTTGGGTCCAAGAAGAGAGCAAGAACATGGGAGCATGGCTGTACGTCAAGGACAGGCTTGTAACTGCTGCTAAGGAAGTTTTTAAAGGCACTACAACTCCAATCAAGTGAGCATGATTGAGATTAAAGTTATTATTCATTGTCTTGTGTAGATATGTTGGTAGATCACCTAGTGTTGCAGTTGCTACTGGTATAAAAGCAACACACATTCAAGAGGAGAAAGCTATATTAGAAGACTCATTTAAGCTACAATAATAGCCTCATTATTTTAAGCTAGCCATATCGTTATATAGATATACCTGTTTAACTGTATGTTTTGTTTATTCTTTGTTATTATTATTATTATTGTATTGAGTATGCATCCCATGTTATCATCATAATTTCAGTTTATTATATATATTTATTTTACAATCATTTTTGTAGCTGATTGTGTAGCTAGCAATTGTATTTTGTGTACTATTATGTGTCAATTATTTATGGTAGTGAGTCTGACACTGTTCGGTAGCTAGTATAAGTTAACTTTGTGCAGCAATAAATAAAGGATCAAACCACTACCCATGATCAAACAGAACTCAATTGTTACATATTCATACGAAATGTCTTCAGAGCAACTAACTGGTAAGTCAGTTTTATTTTTATTTTTTAATTTTTATCTTCTATTTTTAGATGCAGAGCCACCCAGTTCAGAGGAGCAGTCTTACTCTGCTCAAACTCCTTCTACGGATGAGGCAACTGGAGGAGATCAAGGGGAGAATGAGACTAAGAAAGATGAAGGAGGAAATAAAACAACAGCTCCATTGTCTGGTCAAACCAAAACGTGTCTCATTTTATGAACAGGATTTATATTGAAACAGTTTTGAGTTAGCAAAGATATAGATTTAGTTGTAAAAATAACAATTATTAGCAATGATAAAAGGGTATATATGCTGTTATAGTAATGGCAGATCAACATTGTAAAAATTTAAGTATGTTTTTGCTTGGCATGGCATATGCAAACCCTTCTTCAAATCCAAGTAGCATTCCAACCACCATGTTATCATTGTTCACAATATAAGATCCAGCATCACCAAATGTTGCAAAGTCACCTTTCTCTATTGGGTTTATTAGCAGTAGATCAGAGAGAGTGCATAGTGGAAATGCAGGTATGTTTCCATAAGGTGTACTGAAAGTTACACTAGACACTATGCCTTCAGTGTAGCCGGATCCAGCTCCAAACTTCCTCACTCTCTCCATCACTTTAGCATCAGCGTATCCCTTGATGTCTCCAATGTCCTGTATGTAGTTGTACTTAAAGTCTTTACGCAATGGCTCCTGGAGTGTGGCAATAGTTATGTCACTGTTGCTATCTCCACCATATAATCCTTTAGTTGTAAACCCGATGAAATCGTTAGGATAAACAGCCCCTCGCTGCATAGAAGGTGTCACTACTTTCTGTGACAATGTGCTCTCACTGTTCTCAGCAAGGACAGTCATTGCACTAATGAGTGTTCCTTGACCCTCG